TGTAACATCCACTAAGATATACTAGTTACATAGAATGTACACAAGAGTCTTTGTTTGTAAATTCACAACACATTTCAACAAACTACAACTAATATTCTTCACTGTTTGAATTTAAAGTTTCAGAAATTCTACAGTGAACAACAGAAGAAAAATATATTCCCAGATCCATACAGTCCATACAGGACAATCCTTTGGAATAGTAAGCCCAGTTACTATTCAATACATTTTGTGGAAAAAGTATAAATATATTTAGCAGCTTGTTTGTCCTGAAGCCAGTATATCTCTATGCAGATCACACTCCATTTAAGTACTGTATAAACAAATAAAATTTGTCATTCACTTTATGGCTGTTTCTGAGACGTTGCTATGCACAAATTGCCATCTTTGTTCTCCCACAAAACAGTCACTGCGCTTCACTGTGAAGCGCTTTGGGATGTCCTCCCGACGTGAAAGGCTCAATAGCAAATATAAGGATTATTATTATTTAATAAAGGTAAGTGTTATTAGTATTAACAAAATCTCTTGAAAAACAATGTTAATTCAAATCTAACTAATCAAACATTTTCCCGACATGAGAGGTGCTATATAAATGCAATTTTGTTGTTGTTTAATTTGCTAAATAGACAAAGTGAATGACTAAAGAATAAATTGTGCATATAAAAGTCTGCTAACCTGACTTTCAGCTATCAATAGTACATTATTTTACATGAACAGGCACAATTAATTGCACATCCGTCATAAATGCTCCATCTGGATTGGGACCTCTTAATGCTCATAATATTCCACTGGATAGAATCTGTTTCTCATACTTATGGTTCAGACTGTTTCTGAGTCATGTGAATCACAGACCCTGTGATTTTAATGGGCTTTGTAGCAAACAGCTACAACAACCCAGACAGCTCCCAGACTTGCCTGAAGCAATCACACCACTCATTACCTGTCAAGATTGCACTTTACTCCTCAATTTACCCGACAGCTCCTTCGTGGCTCTCTGACTCACTTGTAAGTGTAAGCTCTTTTTAAAACTGATCTGAAAATGACTTTTATTTTCCTTCCAAAGTTTTGGTAGATTCACTGATCTATTGATCAAATAGAGTCCTTCAGCCTCAATTTGTTATTGTGGAAATTACATGTTCTCAGATCTTGGTGAGTAGATGAGCCATAGAGACCTGAAGATCCCAGGTTCTACCACCAGTCTGTGCAAAGTTAGCTGATCCCAGCTGGACCAGCACTAGAGCTCCAGTGACATCAACATCCTGAAGTAACAATAATAATCCTTGCATTCGATACAGCGCCTTATCACGTCTTCTAAACTTCTCAAAGCGCTTCACAGAATATACTGTAAAGTGAATTGACTGCATATTTTGTGGGCAAAACACGGCAGCCAATTGTGCACAGCAGTGTCCCACAATCAGTCGTGGATTGAGTGAAGAAATTATTATTTTTTATTTATTTATCTTTTGAAGGGATTATTACCCCCAGAAAAGCGATCCGCCAATCGACAAACAACAGAGTTCCTACTTACTGCTAGGTAAACAGAGGAGTGCGGAGTAAGGAAACTTGCCTAACTTTTCGCCTCGCCTGGCAATCGAACCCAGGTCCTCGCTTGCAAGCCGAGTGCTCTAACCACTGAGCTACAGGACTCCAGTGTAACAATATTGCTCACTTAGGTGAGGTACTGTCAGACGCTGGGGAATCTTATCTCAATAGAAAAAAAAAGGAGTCAAACACCTTCAAATGAGGATGGATTAGAACTGGAGGAATAATTGTTGGGGGGAGCGGGAAGAATATTTAACTGAGCCAGGGAGCAAAGCGGGATCTAACAACAGAGTCCGAGCTCTAAGTTCAGGAAATCAATATGAAAAATAACATTATTCAGTGTTAACGCTGCCTTAATTATTGCAATAGTTCGCAATCATTTTCATAGAACCCCGTCACTTTTTCTGTCACTTTATAAAATGCCAAAGGTCATGGAAATCATAGTAAAAATCATGTCCTTAATATTTTCCTTTGATTTCCATTGTTATTTTACCATGGCTAATCTGCTGAAACATGATAGCTCCAGTCGTAATTGTGTCTCTTGCTCTTTCCATGAACCCTAAAGATCTGTACATTTTCTTGTTCTCATTTCAAGTACACATTAGTGAAACACATTAGAGATTAATTAAACCTAATTGGGAGTCAACTAGATTTATTTCTGGAGAGAGAAGGGATTTGAGGGTTAATAGAAAACGGACACTCTTGTTGGGCTAACGGGCATATCACATGTGAATATTCTTACGCCACATTTCAGTGATTATTTTCAGCCCTATAGGGGCCTGTCATCTCATGTCACGGATCACAGCTGCTTTTCTGGCAATCTGTAACAACCAAATCAGAATCATAGGGAATGTCAGGCAAGCACCAACCTTAACATGCCAACTGGGAGGAACATAGAATTGGTGTATCGTGTGAAAGATTTTTATGGAGGTAGTGTGTAAATGGCAGAAGGGATTTAAATGTACGGTATGACCCCACCTCCCAAACCAATCCTCCTGATGTAATCTGGTTGTTGGGGTTTCATTTACTGTGTTCTGGATGCTTGAAGGAATCTCAGTTAATTGAGCCAGCCAGACAGACCTGTTGGTGCCAAGAATCCTTGGAGCTGAGGAAGCAAACTCAAAGACAAGTGCATGTCTGTGATAGAAAACACCTTCTTTTGTTTAGAGAAGAATCTATAACCTGGACCTCTAGGAACCAAGGGCCTCAGAAATCCACAAACATTTTTAAAATAAATAAAAGTTTAATGCCAAAAGGCTGAAAACACAATGTGATACAATCAGAAAAAGAAAAAAATGTCATGTAATGGAGCAAAGTCCATGTAATACTACGCACTGCAAGCATAATCTCCCAAATCTGCATATCATACAAAAATAGGAGGCAGAGAAAACAATGAGGAACAATTTAATCAGGTTCAAAAGAATGTAAATAGGCAAATAGGTGGCAACTGAGGTTCAATGTGCTTAAGCGTGAAACAATTATTTTGCGGGCAAGGAACCGATAGTCATACAGCCTGCTGATAAGGAAAGAGACCTGAGGTTATTGTGGATAATTCCATGAAATCATTAGCTCACTAATGATTTAGATGTTGGTAAAAAAGAAAATAATGTACTGGGATTGCATTACAGAACAAATGAGTACAATTCAAAGGTGCCAGCGCCTTGGGACATATTCCTAATGTGAAAGGCGCCTGACAAATGTAATTTGTTGTTGTCTTTGTTTTGTTCTTTAACATACTCAGAATATTCTACTTGGAGCATTGAGTGCAGTTATGGTCAGCAATCTTGGGAAAGGAATATTATTGCTCTTGAGAGAGTTTAGAGATGAATAACAAAAATATTCAGGGTATCAGGAGTTAAAGTCATGAGGAAAGGGTAATAAAATTGGGCTCTTTTCTAACTGAAGTTTTTGACATTCTGAAAGGGAACTGACAAAATCAATGCAACTCAAACTGCTCACCATGATCAAATACCAGGAGTCCCAAATTAATTAGTAAGAAAGGAAATCAGGTAGAATTTTTTTACCCTTAAGGTAACAGTATAAATAAACTTAACAGAATTATGGAGTTGATTTACTGCTTATTGGTGAATTTACCAACCTCAGCATTCAAAAATATGTCTTATTCACTGTTTATTGATGAATTTATTGAACTGGTAGTGAGAGTTCAGAGCAGCTATTCCAATTGTATCTTCACATATCCAAAAACTGTACATTTACAGCATTTCCCTATGGTATCTTGACATAGCTAAGGACTGTACAATTACAGCGACCAAAGAACTTTGCCTCAACGAGTTTCTGTGGAGAGATTGAAGGAGATTTCAAAAAGGCATTAAGTATATTCTAGATTTGTTAATAAAGGGAAAAGTTTGTTGGATCTTTTTCCATTTCTTATACATTTGATGTACTAAAAGATGTCAGGAAAAAACCCCTGAATTTTTAAGCTGAATGCAGGTGAGGCATTTTATAGGGTATGAGAATAGTTTTAAGGTGGGAACAACTCCTCTGATAATGTGAGATACTACTTTATGAAATGAAGAAATGGAACTCATATTTAATTTAGAAAATTCCTTAAAAAAATATTTAAAAGGTACAACAAAAGGTGCTGGAATTGCTCAGCAGGTCAATCGGCAACTGAAAGAAGATAAGTTAACATTTCGGGTTGTTTCACCAAAAGCAAAGAGTTGAGAAACATTAACCTGATCTCTTTCTGATGCTGCGCACTTCCAGCAGTATCAATATTCATTTCAGATTTCCAGAATCTGTTTCTTTCTCTCAGTTATTTCTGTTGCTCAAGTTAACCTGTAACTGACATATCTTTCTGCAGTACTGTACCATCACCATTATGCTTAAACTCTGCAGCACACTGCAGCCCTGTATTGTTCAACTTGTGTAAGGGACAGTAGAGGTGGCATGTAATATCTATACCAATCATCAACTACCTCTCAGCTGACACTACCATTGTTTATGCATCAATTTCATTGTAAACAACTTCGCAAGCAGTTAAATTATCTCCGTTGGTCCAGCAATTTTGTTGGTGGTTACATGTTTATGGCAGCTCCATCACCCAACTATTTTTGGCAAATGCCACATTTAGCTCAGCCTGAAAGGGAAGTTCAGTTTTGTGCTTTCCGAGGCGACCAGAAGCCTATTTTATTTTTACGTTACGATTTCTGTAACTTTTACTTCTGTTAAAGTACTCTGTGCTGGTTCTAACTGTACAGCCACTTGACACAGGACAATGTGAAGGACGGAAGTGATCTCTAAAAACTTGGGCCATGGTTATATCATGTGCTCATAATTCTTACCAGGTGACAACGGCATTCCAGCAGAACTAACCAGGCCAATGCAATGTGTTTTCACTACACAAATCCAGAACAGAGGAAATAATCAGTGGGAAAGCATGGAGATAAAGTTAACAATACTGAATCATTGACACTGACTTTCATTTAGTCCCCCTATAATGCTTTCAGATGGTTTATTTTCTGATAATTTACAACACGAGGACAGTTTTGCAGAGTCTACAAAATGCATTTTCCTAAATGCTGGGAATCCGCTTTCCTCGACTGGGTCATTCGTCTGATAATCCAAACCGGTTTATGAAAATGAGCTGGCAACTAACAGGTTTAGTACAGTCTTCAGATGAATATATTGGAATAATACCTTCTTTACATTAAACTGTTTTTTTTAACAAGTAACTAAATAAATCATTCTTTTTTTTAATATGCATAGTAGTTGAAAGTGTCTCTTATCTGCTGTTACAGCAGTTGGTAAAGAAACTCTAGAAATAAAAGTTCAAAATCATGCAATAGCATGAAAAGTGTATGTTATAAACATCTGCCTGCCATAGGCTGACTGCTGTCTTATTGTGGTAAATCTCGCCTCCAGCAGAGACCAGCAGTGCAGCATCACATGACCGAATGCAGTTCCTCATGAACATTCACTGGAAGGACACACTGAAGCCCCAAAGCAGCTGCTCGATTCATCTATAAATATTTTTTAGCCATTTGTTATCACCATCATCACCATTGCCATCGCCACCCTCACCATCTCCACCATTGTCATCAATGTTGGGCTTTGGGATTTGATTCAGCTCTGAAATCACATACTCTCTTTTCTGAGTTTTTTCTTCAACCTTCAGACCAAACTTTCGCTTCAGTAAATGGAACTGATCCCTGACATAGCGATAAAAGTCGTATTCATACTGTAATTGCTGGTACAACACTTGAAGTGCCTTTGGGGAAGGTATTTGTTTCTTCACAGTGATTGTCCCATTTCCAAGCTTCTTATACTCTGCAAACAAGAAGAATTATCAGATAGGATTAGAAATAGATACCTCAGGGAGTAATATATGATTTCCATAAGACACAATTACAATCGTTGCACTTGATATAGCACCTTTCATGTCTCAAAGCACTTCACAGGATTTATTGTGAAGTGTAGTGACTGTATTTTGTAGGTGAACACAGCAGCCAATTTGCGCACAGCTAATGCCCACGAACAGCCACGAAGTGAATGTCTAATTTTATCTGGGAGATTGTTGGCCAGGACACTGAGAGAAACAACTCTTTTCGAATAGTGGGTAGGATATTAATCATGATAACAATTTGATACAGCACCTCATCACAACATCAAAACATCTCGAAATACTTCACAGGATTTATTCAACAGTGTAGTTGTAGATTGTATTTTGTAAGCGAATACAAGATGAAACTAATTCAATAGCTAAGAAAAGGCAAAAGGGCAACAATTTTCTTTATAGAGCTATAGATTTTGCCTTTTGTATGAAGGTATTTCAGTTCAATAGGTGATTATTAGTAGACCCTCCTGTACTACCCACTGTACATCATTATCATTTAGTCAGGTTCACTTAAATCTCCCGATATTTGGCTTTGATTGAGAGGCTACCCAACAAAACAGAGCACCCTTTAGCTGCTAGCAGCCTAACAGATCACTCAAAGTGCCACTATTTATAATGGAGACTGTGGCAATGTTCTCTGTGAATACTGGTGTGTTGAATATCAGGCAAACTCTTCACCCAAACAGTGATGCAGCTTTGGACGAGGATTGTGATTCTCAATTTGGCAATTTCCAGCCCCATATTAGTGTTGAATCCACAGCAGTGAAGCCTACAGGCATCTCTATAAGTGCTGTCAACTCTACTCTATCACTGAACACTATGATGCGCATTTGAGCAGTTAAGACAGTTTTTGCTCCCAGGTAAAGATGACCTAGTCAAGGTGAGTGAAATTCAGCCCAAGGGACTGAGGGTTGAGCATGATTATCAGCCTTGACAGGATGTGGTTTCTTTTACTAGTGTCCAATTTGACAGCACAACCCCATTGTAGTTACCAAGAAGGTAATAAGAAAAGAACAAAGTATTATAATATGAGCAAGTGATTTCTACCTAAAGGCAAGAATGGCAAAAACTGCTCAGCTCAATCTTTCCATTCAATCTTTTTTCATTTTTCTTTCTTCTCGTCACATTTGCTTCAACTATGGTCTCCCACAGAGACATCCAAATTCTCTGTATAAAGAACCTATATTTCCGTTGGTTGATCAGATTTCCAGCTAAAGCGATTGAGGCTGCAGTGATTAACTTTTTCAGAAAAGAGCTGTAAAAGTATCTGGTTGGATGCGCTACTGGAAGTGATAGGCTAGACTTGTTCCAGTTAATGCAGAAGCAATGGTGCAGAGCAATATTATTACAACTACTAATCCTTATATTTGATATAACACCAGGAAGATTTCAAAGCTCTTCACAGGATTTATTGTGCAGTGACTCCATATTTTGTAGACGTGCCCGGAAACCAATTTACACACAGCATCATCCCACACACAGTCATGAAGTGAATGACCAGTTTTATTTGGGAGATTGTTGGCCAGGAGACTGGGAGAAACTCCCTTCTCTTTTCAGATAGTGCCAAGGGATCTTTAACCTTACTTGAACAAGCAGACAGAAGCCCGGTTTAATATCTCGTCTGAAAGATGTCACCTCCAACAGTGTAGCGTTCTTCCAGCACTGTACTGAAGTGTCATTGTAGTCTATGTGAATTCAAAGTCTCAACATGGAACTTGAACCCACAACCTTCTGACTCAGAGGCGAGAGTGGTTCAAACTGACCATGATTGTGAGTTCTTTCAGTAAGTTTGTGCGTTAGTCATTTGTAGCTCATCTGATGAAAGCTATAAGTGCTCCAAACAATGCCGTTTTTCAGGCATTCCTAACTTTGCTTGCATTTTCCTATAACCATGGCTTGACTACTAAATACCTTCTTAAACATTTGGCCTAAAGCCACTATTTTTACGAGGTGACACGTGTTGTAAAACTGCCAAAGTCTATACAGCATTAGCTGAATGCGCCTCTATGAATCAGTAAACTTTTCTCCCTGCATTGGATCCTGGAAATATAGAACCTAGCTGTACAATAATTAGTGGCAATGTTGTAGGAAAATAGTTCTCTTTGAAGGATTATTCTTGTCGTCACATTAATGCTGGATCATGAAGCACAGTTGGTGGGGAGTTTCTACCCAAAAATGCAGTATGAATAGATATGAGTAGGAGAGGCCGTGGGAGGGAGAGGGGCAAAGCTCGAAAAAGTCCAATTTTGGTTTGAGTTCCTCTCCTTTCACTGAAATGGTTTAAGAAGCTGGGTCGGGGGCAGTAAAACCTTGGCGTGTGGAAATTGCACTCAAGCAAGTCCCTCAGGGATTGATGAATGCACTGGGCAGTTCAATGAAGATCTATTTCCCACTGGTAGTATTTTTTGGTGGTTGTGGTGGGGTTGCTATCAAACCTCTTGAAAAGCAGTTGTATTCTACAAATATGTTATACGGTCCCTCCAAGGCATGATTCTATGTCTATGATTAGGTATCTAATGTATGCTGTGGTGCAATTGGCCTTGATGTGTGGGAATAGAAGGAAAAATGGGCTCAGCTGTGACCCCCCCTCCCCCCCATTATTGAATTGCCTGCTGCCACTGGTTGTCATATTTCACACTTGAGTAAGGTGTGGGGGAAGGGGCGGAGGTGGGGGTTGGAAAAGGTTGCCAAAAGCATGGTTGAAAAGATAGGTTTTAAAGGAAATTTTGAAGGTGGGAAGGGAGGGGTTGGATTGAGTTCCAAAGAGCAGGGGCAGAATCAGGGCCATCGATTGTAGGGAGGATCGGCAGGGGATATGAAGCAGCCTGGTGTTTGATGGACAACAAAGATCACCTGTTATGAGATGATAATATATTCTACCCCAATCAGATCTTGAACTATATTGCCCTCTGCATAGTTCACATTGAACGTTTCAAAGATTTTGCTTTCAAGCAACGTGTTAAATGAATCTTTGAACAGAAAATCTAAATAAAACATAATACTCCCTTTTTAATGAAGGAACCAATTTGTGCATCTGTCGGGCAGCTGTCAGTTCACAAGCTACAAAAATTTGATTAAGAAAACTTGGAACATGCTGTTAAGAAAAGAATCCTTTTGATCTTCACGATCAAAGGAACCTAAGGGCACCTAACGCTTTGAAATGGATCGAAAATATTTAAAAAAACATAAATCGCCCCCGAGGGGAGAGTCCCATAGATTCTCAGTTGAATTTCTGATGGGCGTTAATACAATTGAACCCAGTTCTGGTCCTCTTATAAGGCAGGTGCCCTGTGGTCCCACAGTTGGTTGGAGTATGAGGACAGTCCAGCTTCCCATGTTTAGGAAGTGATGTCAGTGGTAAACTGTCAACCTGGACTTTGGAATTTTTTTTTAGCAGGGAAGCTGGAGCTCATGTGTGCAGGAAGTGATACAATAGACATTTTGGCTTCATGCCCTGTTATCAAGAAATGTTTGGGTTTATGGAATTGAACCAGAACATTGCAACCAGGTTCATTGTAGCTATCTGGGTGATTGGACATTCTCAGAATACGTTATGAAAGGGTATCTTTTTTTTGATCAGCCAGGTGTCTAACATATGCCAAATCCATCACCAAGCTTATGATCATCTAAGCCATTATCTGGAAAGGAACACCCCCTGCTTACCTGATTTCAGAGAGTAATAAGTAAGTAATGGCAAGAGCTGAGGCTTAGGGTCCCCAGGGTGTGTTTTGGGATACTGCTGGAGACTAACCAGCTAAAATGGCATAGCTTGCCATTAACGGCATTTCTGGGAAGCTTCCTGCTGCTTGTCCAGTTAGGGTTTTACTGATAGGGCTTTGGCTTGAAGGGTTTGCAGGAGCAAAGTTGGAAGAATCACTGTTCACAGTGACTGGTCTGCCCACAAGTCCCGCCAAGGAGCCAAGCTGGCTAGTTTGTCTGGAGCAGTGCCCTGGAGTACTGCAAATCAGCCCGACTCAAGAACTGGACCAGCAAAAATACGACAGAGAGATCAATTCTGATACTAAGCATATCACTTTGGAGACAGCTCATCTCCAAGCAGACACTACTTTCTTCCCTCCTCCCCTTCCCTCCACATGTACTGTAGCTGAATTGCATATTTGCTGATAAAGACAATTGTAAAAGGGATTTAGGGATATGGGGATAAGGCAGGGTTATGTTATTAGCTGGAGTTAGTTTAGAAGATCAGCCATAATTGAATGGTGGGGCAGGCTCAAAGGACCGAATGGCCTGCTCCTTCTCCTACATGTTATGTTAATTGCACTTAAAAACCTGCACTCACTTAGAAATTAAAAGAGAAAGTAAAGTATTTCCACAACAACTTGCATTTATATAGTGCCCTTCCAAAATTTCAGGGAGTAGAGGCTGAAAGCACGACCACCATTGGTGGAGGGAAGGGGACGAGGCAAAAACAGGAGGTTGAAGCCAGCCAAGCAGAGGTAGTGGGTGGTAGAATGGGAAGTAAGCAGGTCGGATAGGTAGGGAGGTGCCAGGGCATTAAAGAATTTGTAGACAAGTGGGAGGTTCTTGAAGTCAATCCATTCTATGATGTGAATGGAGTCTGGCAAAGACTAGTGTGATAGGGGTGTTGAGTTTGGATTGGGTGAGTATATAGTCGAGTTTTAAATCAGTTGGATTTTGTGGATAGTGGAACTGGGGAGACCGGTTAGGAGGGCATTGGAATAATCAAGGCGGGAGGTGTGGAAAGTGTGGACGAGTGGTTTGGATGCATTGAGGGTGAAGTATTTCAAGGATGGAGAAGAAAAAGAAAAAAATCGCGGTGGGAGGGTGGAATAAAAAGGTGTCGCATTATAGTGAAGTACTTCTAGACTTCAAATGAATCATTTTTGGAGTTTGCTCGAGTCCTGTAGCTCAGTGGTTAGAGTACTCACTTTGTAAGTGAGAGACCTGAGTT